AAAAGTGTAGTTGTCCATTTATATGATTGAATTTGATAGATTGCTACTTTCAATCTGTGGAAGTACAAAAATAGGAGAAAGTGGATGCAGTTTTTGTCTAGACTGGATCCCTCAAGGTCCAAGCATCCGACACTCAACTGTTCTTCCTCCTTGCTAATAGCCTAATACCAGTATTGCTAAAATATGATTGGATCATACATAGCCTGATAGGCACATCATCAAAAGAATCAACATTTATTGAATATAGATTTTTGTTTTGAAAAGACTTGTCTCTTAAAAACGTGAAATTAGACGTGGCCAAACCACGGTTTCGGGCCGAGGTGCCTTGGAGGGCCCTGGACCAGCCTTATTGTATGGACGGGCCGGTTAAATGAATCGTCGGTTTCGGGTTGATCCGGTGTACTAAAAAAATATAATCCAAGTCATTTCTTATAGTTGTATGAAAAAGAAAAATGACACGAAGCATAGTAATGTCTTTAGTTTATCTGTCGTGTGACACGTGCCGCGCTACATCACACACGTGTCGCGATACAAATTCAGAAGCCCAATATCACCTTTTTCCTTGTGTTTTATTTTTCATGGTAACAAGATAAATACGGCAACGTAAGTGTCGTTTTCAGTCATTGGAGGCTGAGAGATTTTAGTGTTCTTGTTGTATCAACAAAATCGTACAGATCCATGGATACGAAGTACTCTACCCGTAGTAGAAGAAGAAGAAGAAGAAGCCGTCTTCAATCTAAGCTCGTCATTCTTCTTCTTGCGATCAACTGTTTGTTCATCCAAGTTGTGTCAGAAAACGCAGAAACAAAAATGCCCATAATTGACGCCGCCAAGAGACTGTTTTCTCTCCCCACAAGCTACGACTGTTGGATCCTTAAACTGAAGTCGCTCTTTTTCCGGCAAGCCACGCCCCATTTCTCCCCGCCAAATTCTCAGTAAGCAAAGAAGCACCTCGATTACACTCTATTCACAAATGAGATGAGTGTTCATTTAAAAAGTACTTTATATGGGATTTGATGGTAAAAGTATGATTTTGGTTTACAAAGTATGATGCATATGAGATTCGATCTCATAATACAATAATGTGTTTCAGAGTTGGAGGAGAAGGATGGACTGGCGAACAAGGGACCACAGAGAAGGTCAAAGAGGCAGCAGTGAAGAGCTTGGACGAGAGCAAATCAGCAGTTGAAGATTCTGCAAGATCTGCTGCAAAATTAGCAGAGGCAGCAGTTGAAGAGACGATAAAGAAGGTCAAGAAGACATTGTCTGGTAGAACCAAGGCCGAACTGTAAGCAACAGTTGCACGGAAAATAGTTGGAAAAAACTGGTGTTGTACATTTTATGTGGGATCTCATGTGCGTGAGACTTTTTTTACTACCCTTCAATGATATTTTTACTCAAGGTAGGTCGACTTTGGTTGATCTTGAGAGACCCTGTAGACAAGTTAGCATAACCTCTATAGTCTATTAAAATGCAGATGCTTTTCCTCTATGTATACATTACATTGTTGAAATTGCTCAGCCTTGGGATCAAGATATAAAGAAAGAAGGTGACTGAAAAAAATGGAGAACAGTTCGTCCATAATGCAGGACAAACAGAAGCATAATAGTTGATCAGGTTGAATTGTAAACCACTGCAACAAATATATGTAATTGGGATTTTTATTTTGCATCAGTCTAACTGCATTAGCAGTTGCTCTTGCTCTGCTATTAGGTTTCTGAGTATCCAACATGTAAAAACAGAAACAGATCGCAACAAATTTCTAATACTTCTCCTACAACGTCAAGCATCACTGCATCTGGTAGCTGAAAGCTGCAATCAAGAAAGGATAAAAGCATTACTTTATGCCATAGACTCTTGCTCTTGGAAAATTTCAATATTTTGAATTGGTAGATGATTACAAATTGCATAATAGAATTTCACATCAAGCACGTTACTTCTCAGGCAAATAGCATCTGTTTGTGAGTATTTCCCTTGGTGGAATAGCTCTCATGATAATAGCATCCATAATACTATCAATTTTGATGGATACACCACAGTAGACAATTGCAGAAACAAATGGTCGCATGATAAAAATAACACCCAACTTCATGTATAAATTTGGACAAAGATCCTAAGTTAATCTAACATATAGACGGCAAATATTCATCCTGAAAGAGTCCTTATTCCCTTGATTTATACATATTACATTATATTTCCGGTGACGGCTAAAGTAGGGATTGGGTGACTAGCAACGCTTGCCCAATTACAGAAAATCAAACGGCTAGATTAAATCAAATGTATGAGAAACAACTTTGCAATATCATAGAGAATGATAAATTTAAGAGAGAACAGAAATCGAAAGGCGAAGGTACCTGAAAAAAGCGGCAGCGGGTCAATGGCCGGCGAGCTGCTGGTGCTCCAGGTGGCGGCGCTCCTCGGGGAGGGCGACGAGGTAGGAGAAGATCATGCCCCCGAAGCAGATGTGGAGGAGGGGATCGACGGAGCTGGTCTCGATGTATTTGGCGTGATATTATCGAGGCCGCGCTTCACGGAATTCTTCAGGTAATCAATGGTGAAGATGGGTTTGAGATGCGTCGGCAGCTCCTTCACCTTTATCCTCTTTATCTCATTATAGAAAGTCCTCATCGCCATTTCTTTCTTCTTTCACAAACTCTCTCTAAAGCTCGATAAATGGGAGTTGGATATGTGGGACCCTAGCTTGATTCGCTGTTGTGCTGTTTCTTGGTTTGAACTTTTCTCCCATTTTGTTCATTTGAAAAAAAAAAATATTGGTATTCCAGATATATCACATTTTCTTTTTTTACCGGAGATCACGATTTAATCAGTTTTTGATCACTTAATAAGTTTTAAAAATTAATCGGTTTTGGTTCAAATGTTCAAAAACCAATTAAATATATTTGGTGTACCAAAAGTAAATCCCGTTTTTATTGTTTCCACTTTTTCTAATTTCTTATTTATTTTTTAGGATTTTATAAGTGGCGTTTCTTCTTAGAACTAGTACGTAGCCCGTGCGATGCACGGGACATAAGTATTAAATGAGTCATTTCCACAGAGCTTGTCCGTTAAGTAGCTCGTGCGATTTACGGGAGATATTAAAGGAGTGGACCATAGAGCTTGTCCGTTCAGGCCTAAAAAATAATAGAGTTTGATCATCTATCTTTTTACATCTTTTCATCAACGTCATTTTTTTTTTTGTCAGAACATTAAACCTGAGTCTAGTAGCGCAAGCTTGTAAATTAATTAATATATTATCTCGCTCACATGTTTATAATAATATAAATTTGATTTCATTATATATATATTTCTTGATATAAGAAAAATAACAATTTTACGTAATCTTGTTCCTCGTATAATACTCATATTATTTTATTATAAAATTTATTGTAATATAATTTCATTATTATTATTTATGTAAGTTATAGATGTAGTCTTCTTCTTCTTTTTGTTTTATATAATTAAAATATTTAATATATGTTCATATTATTTATTAACGTAATTAATTTAAATTATGTAAATAAATTTAAAGTAAAACATTTTGTACAAACATTTACAAAATATACACAAATGTTTTTTTAAAATTTAATTTTTTTATAATAAATAAACATCTTTAAAATTCTATGTAATTATTAAACATCCTTGATATAAATTCGAAATCATAATTGAATTCTATGCAATTATTAATTCTGTCCGATGTTATGAGAAACAAATCATTCGGAAATGATTATATGTAAGTTGAGATAAAATGAAATGTATCAAAAAAATCTGCTTATGATATTTTCCTTTAAATGTTTAAATGAATTTGAAATTCAAATTACAAATCAAGCTCCAGTTATTCAAATAATTTTAAAAAAGTTACCAATTGTAGTAAAATGTACGTGACAATATATTATAAATATACATGACGTCAGTAATGTTATGAATCTTTAAGTTCCTAAAATATATATTGTTTAGATATGAAACTAATTAACTTATATGTTAAGAAAATATATATAAATATATGTATTGTACGAAATATACACGTGATAAATTATTATATTTGTTTATATATTGTTTGTATTGTTTATTATATTTGTTTATTATATTTGTATATAAATATATTGTTTATATATTTGTCTGTATTGTACGACAAATTATTATATTTGTTTATATATTGTTTAAATATATATTGTTTAGATATGAAATTAGTTAACCTATATGTTAAGATAATATATATAAATATATGTATTGTATGAAATTTTTAACGTGTTTGTTAAATTTTTCCCCTAAAAAATTCAAAATACATTTAAGCATGTTTTGCTTGAAGTTTGAAATTTAAATATGCATCTATATAACAAATCCCATAATTTATGCTAGCATTAAATGCTACTTGATTTTTTATTAAAAAAACATACGAAAAATAGAATGCAATTAATATATTCCTTATTTTTTTGCTTACTATTTTGAAAAATGTTAATTCTTATTATATATATATAGATTATTGAAACTAATACTTGATCTTATGTGTATATATAAATGAAAATGAAATTTTATAAGTTATATGTGTGTATATATTATTTATATCATAAGTTAGATAATGAGAATATCATATTTTATAAATTTTATAATTAATAAATGAACGATATCAATATAAATTATTTAACTTTCATATACATCATTATATTAATGCAATAATCTATATTGTGTGACATTGAGTGATTATAACTAGTTAATTAGACCACCAAATATTGAAATTATTATTATAGCAATTGTGTGTGAAATTATAAGTAGTTTGCTTATTCTGAAAATTTTTAATAAAATATTATTTAATGAGTTGAAAGAAAAAAGATAATAATGATTTTAAAAATATACTTTGAAAAAAAAAATATATAACTTTATATGTATATAATTTTCATAATCATTTAGTGCGGGTTTATGATTAGTTAGCAATAGTTATTATGTAATAAATTAAATAAGAAAATATAATTACTTCATTGATGCATTTATTCCAAAATTAGCTGAAAAAATATAGGGAAAAAAACTTATGATTTTAATTTTTAAGTAAACATACATACATACGTAGATACATGCATACATGTACATGGATGAGTTCAAGTAAAATGATTCTCAATAAAAAAATATGAATACACAGATCACATAAACTNAAAAAAAAAAAAAGAAGAAAAAAACCCAACATCTTTACATTCTTTAAGGGTTTTTTCTGTACTCTCTCATTCTTTTAAGGGATTTTACCAACATTTAATTCAACCCCAAATCTAACGAAACAAATTGAAAGGAATTATGAATTCTGATAAGGCACAGTTTAAATTATGAATACTGATATGGTACCGTGCGATAAATTTACTTAGCACCGAATGCACAAACCATAACACAACTACAGTAATGAGTAATGACATTTAAGAAGACCACATTACTTGGTAAGAAACTAAAATATTGGTTGCCACACCTTGTGGCAGGGGATACTCTCCCACAAAGTTATCACGAACTGATGATAATAACCAAAGGGAGAAGGATACAAAAATTAAAATACACACAATACAACAGATCAAAACGGGGGATGATAACCCATGCCAGTAACGCATAAACGAGATAAATAATGAGATAAAGAGGGATATGTGTGACATTGAAAACTAATTTGACTTAGTGACCTTCTTCAGGTGTTTGACCTTACTGAATTCATGGGAATGAAAATTCTTTTCGACTTCCCAGGCGAGCTGAGACATACCATTGAAGGATGATTTTGCACCCTTCTCATCCGACACTTGTCTAGGGAAAGGTATTCGGACCTCATACACATCATCATGCACAGATCTCACGTGCACATCGAAGCCTAGTCGATCAACCCACACCATCTTGGCATCCAGTACCTAAGAAAAATTGGTAACATTAAGCCCATTTTCCAATTGAGAAAGGAATATTCAGTAAGTGCCTTAACCATTCAGATCGACTATCACTTGAGAAAATCCCATCACTAGACAGGATATATGATGTTCCTGTGGTCGCTTAATTTGGAAAGAAAAACAAATAACATGAGGAACTGTAACAGCCTGAAGAACGCAGAATCACGAATCTGTAACATTATCCTGACATCTTTAAATACACTAACAGCGTGACTGATGTATGGTATACCGTGTTTATAGTTATAGATGGACCCCAACAAAATCTGTTTACTTCAGGAAATGATATCCAATATAAACTATGAAACACAACTTTAAGAGTAAGACTACAACAGAATTACAGAATTCCAAGAGAAGAGGAAGCAGTGAGACGAAAAATAAAGGTCAGCAATTATGTGATCAAAGAGGGAAAAACCTGGAAATCCAAGTCTGCATAAATGTTACAAAATCGATGAACATCTTCTTTGCTGTGGGTGTTAATCTCATCAACAATTTTTTCTGCACAGTCTCGTAGTGGATCTGGTTCAGCTGATGCATACTCTGATGAAGAAACCCAAACACCATCCTGAAGTAGGACTTAGTATTATTCTCTCAACTTCATGAAGCTACGCAAATGTTCTTGACTATAACCAACAACACCAAAAGAAGAAAAAACCCACATCAAACAATAAGTGAAACCTGGGCATAATCATCTATTTGGAGAACCCTTTCAACATCAATGACATAGATGCAACTTTCTTCCACTTCCTCGTTAAACCGCTTCTTCCATGCTGAACAGAGTCTCTGTAAGGAATTATAAATTACAATGAGAATCAACATACATCAAAAGATAAAGTCATTGCTTATGCTTAATCATTTTTAACAAACTTTTGGAAACATACGAAAGATAAAGTCATTAAGTAAAGGTACACTAAATCGAACACAAGAAATCACAAGAAAACTTCAAACTTGTACTTACCCTCAAAACAGTCTTATCTACAGGTTTCTCAAGGTTCCCTTGTATGGTACACTGAGGCGTCCGCTGACCACACTGCTCCAACTGGTTAACATCCAGCAAATTCACGAAAAAAAATCATTACGTTTCCGCAAATTTAAAAAAGGCAAGAAAAAATTCATACAAACATATGTCACAATACAGGCTTACAAGCTCACAAAAAATACCCAAAACATAAACTAACAATGGCTGAAAGAAAATTGCTACCGTATTACCAAGGTTAAAAACTAATCAAATGAAGTCAACCGGTAAAGGTATTCACTCACCTGGACATGAAGGCTACATCTCCGATTATCAGGAGAAAATCGTACATCGAACTCATTCAAGCATAACACCGGAGCTCCATTCAAGTCAACAGCAAAGCGAACGCCGTAACCTAAGGGCGAGCCGTCCTGAGGGAGGGTTGAAAGGGTGCCCACAGAGGATAACTCCACAATCGTTCGGGAGACCTCAGCTGCAAAAGGCTTGTGATTGTCGGCGGATTCCAAACGGGGGGGCTCTGTAACTACAGAGACGGAGCATCTCATAGGTTGGACCCACAGTTTGTTGTTCTTAATCAATGGCATGAAGGAGGATCGATTAATTGCGGGTCTAGAGAGAAAAACTGAGGGTTTGAGCAAATGGACTGTGGGGAGGAGTGAAGGGGAGAGGTTAGAGATTATAGAAGGCGCGTGTGGAAGCATTTTTTGAGCGTGGTGAGGGAATCAACAAGAAATTCCGCAGATAGATTGTTCTTCCTCAAGGTGTTCGTTGACTGACAGTGAGCGAGTGGAAGGACGATGATGGTAATGGAGATGGTGATAACAGAGTCGTGAGAACACACAGCGATTTCATGCGCTGGGGCATTGCAAAATTGAAATCGCATGAAAGAGTTGTGTTAGATTAATTAACTAGTACAATACCCGTACTACACATGTAGTTAAATATATTAATATTTATACAATAAAAATTAAAATAATTTATATTTTTATTGTTAATTATGTATGATGAATATGCAACAATAATAATTAACAAACAAAATAATAATTAATTCAAATGGTGTCCGTTTTTTATACTAAATTTATCAAAAAATATATTTTTTAATTATATTTTTAAAATTATATATGTGTAAAACTAATATTATTTACAACTCTATATAATTCATTATTTTTTATATAAAATAAGTTTTATTATAGTGTTATTATATTTTATATTTATAGAGTCAGTGTCTCACGTTTATTAATTTTTCAAGTATTTTAAATTCATATAACTTATAATTTAGAATTTACGTAGAAATGTATTATTTACTAACTTTATGAAATATAAAATTATTTTATTATATTTAATTATGATATTCTTTTATATTTACTATTTTAAATAACATAATAACATTCAGTTTTTTATATAATCTATTTTGAATTTTTTTTTTTTCCGAAACGATAGAGGTACTATATTAATAAAAACCGCACAAAGTGCGAAGAAAAGCAGCTAAAAGCTGAATAGTACAACCAAAGACTAGAAAACTGGGAGGCAGATCCAGAGATCGCCTAGAGCCGATCCCAACGGGATAATACTCGGGCAACAAACAAAAACAACAACAAAAAGACACAACCACACTAACCGACTACACAAACAACTAAACAAGACTCCAACAGAGTAATACCCGAGTGTCGGACCCCCACGGAGTAATAAATTTGACACCCGGGCGCACAGAGGCCAACGGCCCAAACTAAAACACAATCACACGGGAACAAACACAAACACAGGAACAAACACAACTAGAAAAACCATCAAAAAAACAACTAAAAACACAAATCACGAGCCCTCCCTCTACAGCATCTTCTAACCAGACTAGCAGCCACTAAATCAACCCAGAGGCACCCACCGCTTGAGATAAACGACCCCTCCACTGCAATTAAGCCTAGCTGAATCACAACTCAAGCCACGAGTCCCACCTAAAGCCAATTCTTCCCCAAACCAGAAATACCAAGAAACTCCCAACACAGCCCACCAAGCCCCTAACACCACTAGCAGCTCAAATGAACCGAGAACCCCGAAACCCCGACACAGGGATCCGGAGGAAAGGAGCTGTCTCAATATCGCAGCCTCAGCCCCATCATCTCGAAAGCCAAAGGTACCTGAGCCATTCAAGTGCCCAACCTTCTAACCACCGAACACCGTCGGACGCAGGCAAAGAAAACTGAGACAAGATCGGCTAAAAGGAAACTTACCCTCGATCAGACCGGCAACCGACCAATCGTCGACCAAAAGCTCACCGCCTTCCGTACCAATCCGCCGGCGAAAAGGATCAAAGCAGTCCTACGGATCCTGCACTCCACAGCGCCCGGGAAGCACGCCGATGAAGTCGGAATCGGGGGGAGGTGAAAGGGCCGCCGGATGAACCCACAACGTCCAACCGGAGAAGATGGACCGCCGAGGCCGCACCCGACCCTGACCCAAAACACCGCGACCCAAGGTCTCTCCTCAGGATCGAAGTGGCCGGATATGGCGACCCAATTCAAATTTCGAGATAAATCGAAATTGGCACCACAAGGACCATCGATTCAAGGGGAAAGCTTGGTCTCGGCATCTAGGAGGGCCGGGCGGCGAGGGGGACGACCAGCGAGGCCGGAAGCCGAGAGAGAGGCGTCAATTTAGGGGATTAGCGACGGGAAGAGAGAGGGATTTTTTTGGGGGCGACGGGAGCGACGACGGGTATGTCTACCAATCTATTTTGAATTGAGAAATAATATTTTATAATATTTCTTAAAATTTATTTTATGTAATACTTAATTTTCAATTCTTCCAAAATTTATGGAAAAAACAATAAAATGATTATATGGTGTATTAGTTAATTAGATTTTTATTTTTTATAAAATAATTTATATTTTCATTTGATGATTTTAAAATAGAGTTGATAGTAAAATTAATTTTATTTATAAATATAGATGCAATTATTATTTATTTTATATATGTAATATAGATGTCACATCGAAGATCGTGAAAATATGATTATTTTGGTAGATCATATATAAAAAATAAAATATAAATAAAAAGGTTATAAAATTTAAAAATAAAAAGAATACATATTTTTAATAACTAATATATGATTTAAATAAAAAATGGTAAAAGTAGTATATGATAACTTAAGAAAAAATGGAAGCTAAAATAGTTTATGGTAATTTCCAAGTCTAATAGTCAAAAGCAAATTTGAACACGTGTCAATACAAAGCACCAATTTATGCCAAATAAGCTTACGAAACACACGAGTCTGCCACTTAGACTCAGCGCATTCGAAGACATAATTTGGCCACTTTCCCAAAAAAGATGTGCAAATTTGGAAGTCATCAAAGTTTCCCTAAAAAACCAGATCTAATCTCTCCGTCCCCCGTTGTTGCGGCCATCCAATTTCCAGAGCGAGACGCGGTTGGAGCCATTTTTTCGCCACCGAATTCGACGGGAGACCCGGTCGACGGCGGGTCTCGCCATTTTCTACAGCCGTCAGAGGACAACCTAGCTGATCCTTTCACGAAGAGTTTGCCGGGGAAAATCTTCGACAAACACGTAGAAGGAATGGGAGTCATGAGCATGACAATGAGATCGACATATGTCTTTTAGAATAACGGATTGATAGGACTATACTGTAAAAGCGAAAGATTTAAGTATAAGTACGAGATTTTTAGTGTTATATACTGAAAGTTTGGTTTTGCATGTTATTACATATTTGCCTTTTATGAACGAGAATCATGTTAGATTAAACAAGTTCTACGTTCTGTTGTTCAACACTTAGATAGAGTGGGTTGTCATCGGGCGAACTGAAGATCACTCTATCAGTTACTTGCAAACAAGAATAGTTGTTCACAACCTAGATGGACATGAACACACCATCCAAACAGTTGTAGTGTCAACTGTACAGTTTGTCTTGATTGATTAGTTGCACTAGTACATTTATGTATTGAACAGGATCCCAGAGAGGAGAAGTTCATTTTATACTGATCGTCATAAAAGAACTAGGCCTCGGTTAATTACTGCGTTCTCCTAACCTGTAAGATATTATACAGGCAGATATATATAATATATATTACTTTGATTCACATGGGTGAGATTCAGTTCGCTGGATTAATGTTCCTACTGTTTTGGTAATATTATTATATATAGGATGTGTTGTTAGGATATTTACGGTCACCTTGTGCATTAGTTTGATGATGTTCCCGGAGTGAGTTCATGAAGAATTTTTATGCTAAACCCTGCAGGTGGATTAAATTCCGGCATAATAAGAATGTGATGAACGAGCGCTAGCTTCGGTGAAATAATAATAAATTAATTAATTCTTGATTGTCAGTAATCGAATTTATTAATGGACATTATATCTTAAACGTGGGGAGGTAAATCGAGTAATTATTATTGAAGTCTCAAATGTAATTTGGGCTAGGAAAAGAGACTACAATAATATAATGTTGGTGATCCATTAATATTATTTAATTTATTAGAGGAGTGGGCTTTGCCCACAGTTAGTCTAATTAATTAGGGAGCCCTATTCATAATCTCATAAGGATTCCTACTGTAACTCTATATATATATATATCATTAAGCTCATGAGAAGAGAACACATAATCCCAAAAATCACACAAACACGCCGCGCGCCTCTGTCTCTCTCTCAGTTCTCATTCGAGCTTTATCTTCTTCTTGTTGCTCCACTGGTACAAGTTGAAGAGGAGTGTATTGAGTAATACAGTAGAAGAACCTGTTGGTAAACCGGGACTCTATATATTTAATCCCGTAGGACTAACTGAAGGTCAAATCAAGAAACCGAACATACCCACACGACCGTCTCGACGTCTGCTTTCAGCTGCCGCCGAGATCGCCGCGGTCCGCCGCCGGGAGGTCGTTGGCTGCAAGATCCGTTTTCATCCTATTGCATCCGTTTGATCCGTTTTTGGATCCGATCACGTTCATGCGATCTCAAGACGTGATTTGCGGTCATCCGTTCGTGCCAGCCAGATCGCCATAAAAATTAAGCCGTAAGTTCTCTATGTCAAACCTTTATATTCGCTGCGCATAGGTTTACGTTTGTTATTGAATTCGTGATTTGTACATAACGAGATCCCAACAGTCGATTCTTGATCGATTGCAGTCTTGGGTGGTCCTTCCTCGGGTCTTGATTTCGAGCCCTTTGGTGTGTTCGTGGCGACTCCTTATTTCTTCTCCAATGCTGAAGTCTTTCCGATCCTAGATCTGAAACGACAAGGGGCCTCCTTTCTGAATCTGTCTAGGCGGTTCGTCCGCAGTTTTTGGGTCCGGGTTTTAGATTTGTGATTTGGTTTTGCCTTTAGCTACAGTGTAAGGCCTTGGGGGTCGGCTAGGTGGTCGTTTGGCTAGCCTGTTAGGATTAGGGGAGATTTTTATTTTATTTGTTTATTAAGTGTGCTTTTTTTTTCTTTTTTTCGTCTAGCTTCGTCTGGTGTCTAGTCTCCGTCATGGAGTTTGTGTCTCCTTTTTGGAGTTCGTTTTGTGATGTGTTTTAGCCTCGTTGATTGAGTTTCTACCCCTTAAACGCCTGTGTCGATTCAAAGGGGTGGGTCCAGACATTGTTCTGGTTCTCCTGTGTTAGTTGACATCTCGATTTTACTTTATTAAGTTTTAAGTCATAATATATTGT